TTTTCCCGCGAAGAAAACAAGTACATTGTTGTTATGTTAATGAGGAATTATGCAAATCAAAAGTGTCATGATATGTGAGACATGAAAAAAGACGTAAACCACTTTTCCAGCCAGGAAAGCAAACAGAATTCTAAACATTTAAGTCCATATAAGTAAAGATAATATAGATACTAAAGAGGTATGGATTAAATTATTCTTAATAAAAATGCAGTGTAAACCTGCAGCCTAAGCATAATGTAAGACAGAATTAAAGCTACATGGGGTTTTCTTAAATCGGGCTGTAGAGCACTGGGGCAGGCCCCTGAGAAGGAAAACCCCAAATTTTCAGATCTAGATATATGGACAATATATCAGATAAAGTAGGAAACTAACCCTAATGCTGGTGCAAGATAAAGTTATTAACTACATTTTTTCCTTTGATGGAAGCACACACGTCTTGTAATTTAAGTTTTGGGGTGCTTCAATGTAGAAAGCTCTAGTGGTGATTTCTTGAATCTTGGGTTTGAATAGAAATATCTTCTATCCAGAAAGATACCTGCTTCTAGAAATCTCATGATATATTGACTCATTCTTTCAGATTCTCCATTGCTGCCTTTCTCTCTTCAGCTCCCAGTTTCATGGTTATTCCCCTCTGTCATCCCAGAACTTCATGCTGTAATGCCAGTCTGCTTTCCTGTGCATTTCCTATGATTGCTTCAGTCTGATGTTTTTTCCTTATGTAGGAGGCTTAAATGTTTTAATACATTTGGATGAAAACGTTATTCTTAATCACAGTCTGTGCCAGAGTCAAAAGTTTTTAATTTTTTATTCTCTTAGTCTAAAAAGAATAAACACTACATGCTTCTTTCCTTTGAGACATTTTGACCAATACAATTGTTTTTATACATTAGTTTGCTAACTTTGACGATGAAATCCCAGTGAAGAGTTTTAGAGAAGCAAAATCAATATCCTCGCTATATTAGTGTTACATTTTAAAAATGTTTTATAGACAAACATTTTTTTTCCTGAAATAATATTAAGAACCAAACATTATTTTGGCTTGTACACAAGTGTGTTTAATTGTGTGTGTGAATTGCTGTATATTTTGGTCACTTTTTATCCTGAAAGTCCAGGGTGTGGTTTGATGATATGATAAATCTAGCTTTACATCTGACAATAGCTATAAAGAAAGGCTGTAATCATATGACACAATTATCTGAAAGGTTCACATCCTGCCAGTTCACATTCATGAAAAAAATCTTAGTACATTAATACTAAACCAAATGACATTATGTGAGAATAGTTATTGTTTGCCTTCTGATTATCAGAATAATGCTAGCATAAAATTTGCGTCCTATGCTTTGCTTGACAAAATGTGGTTATTTGCTCACCTCTGGACTTCGGACTGACTGCAATGTGGAAAATGGTTTCCTAGAGTTTGTTTTCTGTGGGAAGTTGGTTGGTTTCTATAGCTTGAAAGTCTCTAACTAAAAAAAGGTAGGAAAAGCAAGGTTCACATGATCATAAACCAGAATCCTTATTGCACAAATACTGATTCACAAGACAGGTGTGCAGAATTTTCAAATAAAGTAACTTTTTAAAAGCATAAAAACAATTTATAAACAACAACATTAACGACATTACTGTAAACCTTTGATAAATCAAAGTGTTTGTGGACTTTTGCTTTTTGAGAGTATAATGGAATGGGATGTACCTGAACAAAGGAGTAGTTACTGTTTGAAATGCAATGTATTTCTCAAATAATATTTGAGATGGTATTCTTTCTGGGAATTTTGTAGGAATAAAGGCTAGTGCAGCAGAAGCAATGATTTTCAGCATAATTTGGAGTAGTAGATGTATGCATACTGCGTTTACTAATTTTATTTGGCAAATGAATTTGAAAAGTGGAACAGTGAAACTCAGAAATAGGTGTTGAGTTTGATTAGGAACAATTGTGAGATCATCTTTTGTTTATCAGCAGGCAAGGGAATGAGATGAAATGTTGAAAATATTCTGAACTACCCATTAATACATTAATGGGGGGCAAATACCATAAAATAAAATGAGAATATTTTATATAAAAGAAATTAAACCAGGGCATATAATATTTAAAATAATTGGTTTTTTAAGACTAAAAATAGTAGCTTCTTATTTTACCCATCTTTATTTACATTAAAGCTAATTGCTGCCATTGATGATCTCTAAATCCTTGACCCTGTTGCCCTCTGGCCCTTTTATCAGTCTTCTTGGAGCCTGAAAATGAATGGCATTGCTTGAATAGAGTTACATGTTTTCAGGTTTCCCAAAATTTCTAATAGTGAAGGATGGTTCAAATTATGATTACTTGAAGAATAGACTAAAGAAACAGTATCCTTATTTTGCAATAACTGTAGTGATGATTCTGCCAGCCCTCAGTGCTACTTAAGCAGATACTGGAGAAGCCCAGGCAGAAAACAGTACTGAAGAGCTCATCCACATAAATATGCTCCAAAGAGAACCTGGAAGATGGGAGAATGTGAAGGCTTTTCCTACAGGGTGGTTTAATTTTCTTTTGAATTTTGAACTTTGAAGTCTTAGGCAGCGTTATACTTTCTTTTGCTGTCATTGTATCATAATTTGCCTCTGATGCTTTGAGACAAAGATCGAATTACTAGACATGGTTTCCATAGCAATTACAACTATCTGAATATGCATGGAACTGCTTTCTCATTGTTTTCCATTTTCCCAATGATTTTTATTTACCAGATGAATGGTACAAGTTATAACTTTATTAAGGAGCTGCAGTGGGGATTTGCTGAGTTTTTTGGGGAAGGGAGTGGCTATCTTAATCATGGCTTCACTGTGTTTATGAAAACCATAGTGAGTAATTCTGCAATTTAAAAAAACCACCATTATTATCTCCCCACATTTGTAGTTTAATGAAACATGTACATGTGCCACAGTCATTTCAGGTCACAAGGCATTGTCTTCCTGCAGACAGGTCATAGTTTAAGCTGTGGTTGAGATGTGTAGACATGCTTGATTTTGGTGGCTGTTCTTCAGAGGGAAGTCAAATGGAGTGAGTAGTGCCAGAACTTGTCAGGTGACATCTGTAAAATCCGTTATTTTGTGTTTGTCCAATGACTACGAAAAGAGGATTAGGTACTATTTGGGATCTTCAGACTCTACTATGATATAAAAAGTGAGTACAGATAAGTAGATATGGTCCAGTTCTGTTCTGCCTTTTGCCCTTGAATAATCTATTGATAGGATTTCTGAGTTATGACAAAATTCTCCAATATGTCTACTAAACATGTATAATTTTCTAAATTATTCTGTAGTGATACAGCAACAATTAATTGTTCTGCACAGTAACTTTTACAAAGAAGAAAAGCACACAATTTGTAAGTTACAGTAGTTCAGCACTGGGAAGTGCCCAGTAGTTCACTAGGAAGTTAGGAAAACAAGAATAGAAGAGCATGTTTTGCACATGGAAACTGTTAAGAGTTCTTTATGAGAAATAAATGTCTTAACTCTTCTCACACTTCGTCGAATTTAATTCAGTGGATTAGTTGTATTACTTGCTATCTCCTGGCAGATCTTCTACTGTTGAATATCTCTTAGTTCCTCTGTTTCTTATATTTTGTTCTCTTTTCCCTTGTCAGGCCTCTATTGACACTTGATTTGTGATTTCTCCTAACTTGGGGTATAACTTCCTTCTAGAGAGTTATGCCTTACATCTTTATTTGCAGTTTGTTTTGTGTCAAGCTTTTTTGTACTTACACAGCCAAAACATAGTGAGCTATGCAGATCTGTTACGAGGTAAAATGTCTGACTATATAGTTTCACAGATGGAGCGGTGCTAGTTTCACAGTGGATGTGCTGCTAAAATTAAAAAGGAACAGCATGGAAAACATGTTATCTGTAAGCTAAGTTTCTCATTGAAATGTCTGTGTTTGGTATACAAAGATAGTGACTGAATGCTTGAGGTGTTTGTTAAGAAATGAACTCAAGCTGTACTTTTTAAAACTTTACTGTGACACATATGCTAAATTTTCTTTGTATTTTTTCAAAAAGTTTTCTTCTTATGGGAAATTTAAGAAACCAGTATTGCTTTAGGTCTCTGTAGAATTCCTGCTGGAGTTTGTCAGCACTTTGAATGTAACCACTTGCTTTGCACCAACATTTTAGACAAGAATTTAGAGTTGAATTCTAGATTCTGCCATGAGATGTGCATATGCTACCCCTGTGGATCCTGAAGAATAAAAGTTAATTGCAGTAATTTACTGCTGAGTTTTGTAGCGCATGTAATCAAAATATATAGACTGACAAGAAAATCTACAGTCAAGCATATTCATTTTAACAACTGTTACAATTTCAGTACCATTAGTAGATCCTTATTGATAAGTATTATTTCTTCTGCTATGCCTTCTTTGACACACTCCCAATGTACCAAATCTGCCCTCCTGTCTTTCTTTGTGCTGTTATCACCCCCTGTCTCCCCTCTGGAGTTTTTTCACAGAACTTCTCAATCCCCTCCACCCTGTAAAAAGAACATTTTGCTTCTGAAAACAACTACTGGAAGGGGCTCCTCTCAGAATATGATACGTATGGGGTGAGAGACAAAGGACAATCCATATCTAGGGTTGCATGGCTGAGAAAGGTAGGAAGTGATACGGTCATTGGAGGATTGTCTGACATCCCATACAGAGGCATACAATTCAAAAATATCTCCAGTGAAGTTTGAACTAATTTTCTGTCTGGATTTCACTGTACTCCTTTCTTAATGCTTTTTTAAGCTGCAGTAGGCTACAATTTTTAAAAATTTTTTTGGGGGTCCTCTAATGAAAGACAAATTCCTCAGAATGGGTAGTTACAAAACTGCCATAGAGGTGCTCACCCATAATCTAAGTTTTTTTAAATACTTGCACACTGTTGCCTAGTAAATGAAGTTAAACTAATGAATTCAGTCTTTAGTATACATAGCTTTAACTTTTGTAGCTTTATTTTAATTTTATTTAAATGAAACTCTTACTACTTACTTTTGGATAAAGTTGTGCAGATGTAGTCATCGTCGTAGGAAAACAGTGGGGGAGGGAGAACAGTAATATATATATGAAAAAAAAGATGTTGCTAAAATTCACAGAGAATGCTAACACTTTGAATGTGGCAATGTATATTGGGCAGGGCTTCTGATTTTGAAATATTTTGAAGAGATTTGGAAAATATGTCTTGATTTACCTTTTTAGCCTTTGAAGCATTATTTCATGACCCCATTTGCAAATGTTCATAATCCTATAAAAGAAATATATAATAAGGTTCTTAAAAACCCTTGAATGTTGCTTAAAGTACTTTAGAATCCAAAGAAATATACTCCTATTAATGCATAATAAAACAAGAGCCTTTATATTAAAACTGGTTACCTGTGAAGTCTTTTAGGCATTTTACTTTTTAATTCTCTGTGCCCTAAGTCTCATGTTGAATTCCTCCTGCAGCCAGATCTCCCGTTTAGATTCCTAGGGAATTCAGGATTACACTGTCAATGCACATGCATTCCAATATGCATGTATTGGAAAAGGATTAGATAAACGGGTGACTGGGAAACACAGCAGATTCAGGTATGTTTGTGCTGTACTTTGTCCTGTTTTCAGCTAGAATGACCTACCTTATAGTTAACATTTAGTCATATATTTTTTCAGTCTAAAATAATTTAGTATTTCCTATTTCTAAGGCCATGTTTTGATAACATTTGAGTTTTAATGGTATGTCTCAAAGTAATGAAAATACATAGGGTTAAGGATGATTAAATGTGCCAGGCTACTGCTGACAGCCAGTGCGTAATTATATACCTTCTAAGCACCATATGCAACACAGACTATCACTGTAAAGTATTATTTGTAGCAGCTGTAATATTCAGCAACTCTTTTGTTGTTTGGTTTGTCTTGTAGTAATGATTGAATACTTTCTTAATATTTATCCTAATTAACATAATTTTTAATCCCCTACTTTTGGGGAATGAAATAGTTGTACCCGTATTGAACAAATTATCTTTCTAGCAGTAGTCTCTTGGCACTTTCTTGAAAAGCCTAGGAGTACTTCCAGCTATAAACTGCACAATATAGTTTATTTTATGATGGAGGAATATGGTTTTCATGTCTATAGATTAATATTTCAACCTGGCTAATCTTGGTAGTAATTGAAGGTTACAGTGTTGTACAAAGGATCTTTAGATACAGATGCAAAGTAGATTGATAGTAGCAGCCCAATTTCTCTTGAATAGGTGTCCATATTACAAAAAACCCTGCCATGATTGGCACTAATTGGCGACCTTGTTGGCAGATTCTGGAATATGGTCCAAAGACTGATGGATAAAGAGGATGAACTGTTGCATCCACCTATGTACAGAGGTAGCTGTTTCTTGTCAGGATTGACAGCTTTTGGTGGGGTGGGCTATGAACCTTGGAAAGTTTTTTCCTTTGGTTCTTTTTCTTCATCCTTTCTGTAGATTTTGGTTTTCAGTGTTTCACAGTAATGCTAATACTTCTCAGAGAAACAAAAATCACTTCAAAATTTAATAAAAAGAGATCAAGTCAATGCCGTTCCTGAAATTTCATACAATAAAAAAAATGTTAGCAGAAGAGATGAGTTATTTTTCTTGTCAGTCATATCTAGAGAGTTACTATTTTGACTTCTACCAGAAGAGAGGAATGCCATAATGTTTCTCACTATGGAAGGTGAATTCAGGGAGGTGAAGTGGTGATGAATCATCTCAATAGGGGTGTGGAATATGCTTTGTAGGGAAACAATCAAGATGCCATTCTGGGTTTTTTTCCCCCTTAAGTCTTGGCATGTTAGCTAAAAATACAGATTTTGGATGATTTTTAGGAACTTTTTCTCTACTGCATTTTTTTGCCTATATGTGTTAATTCAGACAGCCTCTGGCTGTTGTAGTTCAGACCACTATTTTAATAAGCAGCTGGTTTTGGTTATCGTGTTGACATTCATCAGGCAGATCTGGTATATCTGAAGATCAGCAGAAGCTCCTGTGCACAATGCCTTACTTTTTCTCTTAGGACTTCTGGCTCTCACACTGAAAATTAATTTGAAACTAATTAAAAAAGAAATACTTAGGATCATTTATCCTTTTAATTAAATTAGAAGACTTGAGGGAATGTTTATGGTCATTTGTGACCACTCACGCAATTCAGTTGTAAATTAATGGGAAATATGTTCCTAGAGTCACCCGCGAATAGTCCCATGAGTCATGTTACTCACTGCTTTTTCAGAAAACTTCTGTGGATGTGGGCTGGGATAATCTGATAGAGAAGCATTACATTAGACTGCAACTTTTGAAAAATACTTTCTTCTCCAAACACAAAATATTGTTCCAAACATCAAAATATCTTATGAAGCCTTTACAACGAATTACATACTAAAGACCAAGGAACTTTTTTCTTGATGGAGTTCAGTTTGTAGAGCTTTCTTGATAGACGTGTTTTAATACACTTTCCCTAGGTAAAATGTATAGCCAAAAATATAAAAATTAATGTTTTCTTGATAGCATGGCATGGAAGTTTATGTGTAAATACTGCATAGTTGAACAATTTGTGATTTTTCATTTCCAATTTGATTAACCCCTATTTTTTAACTTTTATTAGTATTAAATTTGTAGTTAATCTTTGGGTCTTATCTTTGAGACTTCTTAATATTAAATATGGAGTTTCATACCATTTGCGTCTTTTGTTAAAATTATTTTTCTGTTGTTCATTGAGAACATGATGGTGATGACCTGGTCACTGTATGTACTGAATGGTGTATGAAAAAAAAGTGCAAAACCTGGTGAATAATTGCCTTGTTGTTGATGGAGAAAATAATGAGTATGTGGTGACAGACTAAATATTTATTTGAGCATAGCAGGGTTTTTTTTCCAAGGTCTCTTTTCTCTTAGTTCTCATAAAATTCTCACTCAATGACCAAAGAGTTGATGGATAAATATTATAACACAAGAGGATGAATAATTGAAAAGAGGCCCTTATTGTTCAGAATTCAGAATGTTTCAAATTCTTAGTGGTTTTTGTCACTCTGAAAGTCTTAGTTTGTATTTCTGACATCTTAAATTTAGAATTTATCTTTTACGGTAAATGATGACATAATTGCCTAAGAAGTTGCTGGAGAGATGCATAAAGAATAATTATAAACTTGTGTTTGCTGAGGACTTCAAAGCTTTCTCTCCCTGCAACACTAATCTCACCACAGAAGGGTGGAGGAAGTAGGAAGATACAGACTACACTTCGCCACACAACAGTAATAGAATCAGCATCTGTGGAGTGCATATGGTGACGTGTTTATTTCTGATGTACAGTCCCTTCTGAAGCTCTCAGTGGGACAATGAGACTGCAACAAAGGAACAAGGATCAGTTCCCCAGTTGTCTCCAGCATCCAGGAAGGCATTTTTTGTAACGTTGTGGAAAGTTACCTGGTTCATCTGAGGTAAAAGTTGCTATGACCTGGTTTACATTAATGGCATTAGATTATGGAAACTTTACAGATTTGAGTTCTGTGTTGATTTACATGAATGAGACAAACTGGATTGCAAATGTTTCCTGCTAAGAGGTACCACTAGGCTGAAAATCAAATATTTTTAGAATTAATATATGGCACATTCATAGAGGACACTTCTTTTATGGGACAAAGAAGGAAGACAGAAAAAAATTTAGGTAGCTGATTCTGCATCACTTGGTACAAACATGAGCTGTTGAAGTATGGACCCTTTTGGGAGAATGTCATGGGAAAATAAAATGAAGCAGAAGAATGTAAATAAGAATGCTAGTTAGGCTGTTTCTGCTCTTGATGAAGTTGTGTAGATTACACATTAAAGAAAATAGCTGCAATAGGTAAAATCTTGTAGGTAAAAACATCTAAAGCTAAATCATTAACAAAGGCAGAAGTCAACTGTAAGACTTGAACCGGGCTGTGACATTACACAGGGAATCTTATGTTCCACAAGATGGAGCTGTGTGATTTCTGCTTTTGGAAGCAATTCAGTCTATTAGTAAATGATTCTTTGATTACTGTACAAGGACAGGAGAATCACAGTGATCTATCATTGCTTTCTTACTCAGATGCTAAGGATCTCCTGCAATTTAATTCTAGATGGTCGTGTGGGTGCTAAAAAAGATTGAATTTAACATGAAGGGCTCTGAATCTAGAAGAAAGGCTATATTTAAAGAAAGAAGAATAAATCCATTACCTTTCTCTATGACGATCGCAGCAATTTGCCTAGTGTGTGGTGTCCTATCAGCTTTTCTTTATTTACTCACTTTGATGATGACTGCAATGCAGATTTCTTTGGAGTGATTTCTTATCATTTATGCTCTGTATCATCTGGATGAGGGAGGGATACAGTTGCTTAAATGATAATTCAAACAAGTATTTTCAGTAACATTGACAGACCTCCAGTTCTGGAGTGTTTATTAGGCCTGAGCAGATGTAAGTAAAGTACTTTATCAACAGAACGGAATACTGCGTTTTTGATGGCAGTAGCTGGGAAAGATCAAGAATTCATAGTAGAAAAATAACAACATGAGGTCCTGGTGTGATGCCTTTGCATAAAAAGCTAATGTAATCCTTTCCCTGAATAAACAGGAGTAAGGCCAGGGAGGGGGGAGCTTGTTTTTCCTCCTTATGTGGCACTAGTGAGACTGGCACATTCAAAACTTTCAGAGCAGAACTGAACAGAAGCAAAGAGCAGGCAACAGTCGGATTGGCCGAGGATCATGCAGACAAAGGCCTGGAAGGTTTTCCACAACATACCAAGAATCTTAAAAAATTAAAGTTATTGAGGTGTTAATAACCTGGGGTATGTCCCTAAGAACCCAAGTGCCAACTGTGTGATTACTGACAGAACTAGTGTGGACCCAGTCAAAAAAGGTGGGGTGGGGTTACATGTGGCCTCCTAGATCAAAGGGTGATTGTACGAGAAGATTTAAGAGCACTCTGGGGTACTGGCCTACTTGAATTAACACTGGAGAATGTAAATAGTAACTTGTTTGCAACTTCGTTAAATCCCAGT